TGCAGTCTTTTCCTCCCTTTATCTTGATGCAGCCGTTGCCCTCACTTTGTCCTTTTCACTTGAAATTGAAGAAATCTAATCTGAAGGACTTCCAGAAGAGGAACAGAACTTTAACAGTTCAACTCTTTTTAACGTTTTCTCACTGTGGGATTGTTTTAAATATCCTGGTTCTCAGAGCAGCTCTTTCAAACTTTTTCTTATGGGTGATAGATTTGTCTTCGAGCGTTGTAAGAAATCACGTATATGAATATACAACAACCAAAAGTTTCCAAAACTTATCCTGCTGTGAAGTTTTACCCCTCACATTTTGGGGCAAAAGAGCCAAAAACAAACGCACAGATGCTACTGCAATTATTTGCTAATTCAGAGTTTGTGACTTCCCAATGAGTCATCACAGTCCTCTAACCAGAACCACAAATACAACCGAGATTGGGAGATTTCTCTGAATTATTTCCTGTGCAAAGTAGAAAATACAAGAAATGGTGCATTTTGTACAAAGCACTGATGTTTCCAGCAGGAAGAACTTGCCGCAGTCGTGAGATTGGTTTGTGTGCTTTATTGCCCTCATTACTTAAAATTTGCAAGGGTACTTCCAAGCAGGATTTGTTCATTTTGCTGTCTGTCCCTTGGATTTTGATATATCTGTGCTTGAGCACTGCTGCTTGGTTTTATTACAGATAAATCAAATTTATGCATAGGTTGCTGTCAAATCACCACAAATTTGTCTTCAAGTAGGAGGTTTGGAGATATTCTGTTGAAAACATGTTTTCCAGCTTTTAGTTGTTCTTGTTTTTCTTCCTTGCTTTCTGTTGTGAGGTTTCACTTGTCGTTACCAGCTGCATCTTTAAATAGGTTTTCCCTTTCTTCACTGGCCTGCCTTCAGTGCTTGCTATTGAGTTGGTCGTATCGATCTTATATTCTACTTGGCCAAGCACGTAGGCAGAGTCAGAAGGCAGCAAGAGATCATTATTTGGATTTGAATAATAAATAACAGGCCTTTTGTATGGTCTTTGCAGCATATAATACATGGTTCAAAAGAAGTCATTCTTTCATTTCTTCCTTCTTACTGAGTAATTAGAGGATAAAACTTTACGTACCAAATAATACTAAAAGAATTGTCCTCTTAGATAGAAGAACAAATTTGCTCAGTAATGGGAATGCTGGAGAGAAAATTTCTCCCATCAGATGCTCAGATGTGAGATGCGACCCACTAATGTCCTGGCTGACAGACTGTGAAACAAGCACAGGCCTGGCACAATTAATTTCCAGAATTTTCTCAGGTATTTGTTGCATTCTTCAGGCGCAGAGAGGTTTAGTAAGACAGTGTCTAAGGAAGGAATCTGGAACCACTCTCAGAGATTCATACAGAATCATAGAATTGAAGGGACCAGCACTGGGTGCTCCAGAATTGGCCTCCCCAGGACAGAGGAGGGGGAGGATCCCTCTCTCACCTCGCTGGCCACGCTCTACACAATGCACCCCAGGGTCCCATTGGCCTGCTTGGCCATAAGGACACACTGCTGGCTCATGGCCAACCTTTGGTCAACTTTTGTTCATCCCCTGGTCAGCCTCTGATCAGCCATTGGTCAAGCAGAGCACCCAGGTCCTTCTCTGTAGAGCTTTTTTCCAGCAGGTTAACCTGTACAGATGGGTGCAGTTATTCCTCCCCAAGATGCAGGACTCAACACTTGCCCTCGTTGGACTTCATGATGTTCTTTGTCCATCTCTCTAGCCTGTCGAGGTCTCTGAATGGCAACGCAGTTCTCTGGTGTATCTGCCACTCCACACAATTTGGTATCGTCAGCAAACTTGCTTCCTCAAACAGGTTTGTGATGAAAAGCCATAGAGCTGTTAGATCAAAGAATTAAATGAAGATAAAGGAATGAGCTCTACATCAGACAGTGCTGCATATACAGTTAGTTTCCATGTGCTTGGGGCCATGTTTTGCATCTTTGGCAACTTGCAATTTTATTTTAATTGCTGGAGAATTTGCAGTAGGACAGGGAAGGATATCGATTGCATTGCTCATGACATCTGTACAGAATGCTGTGTCTATAGTAAAATTGCTTGATCCTCTCTCACTGACAAAGGATGCTCCTTTTGTGTTCCCCCCCCTCCGCTCTTCCATTCAGTTTGCTGAGATCTGGTGATGGTTTCTGGAGCGAGCAGAGTGATCTGTTTGCTGTCCCTCCTGTCCCATTGCAGTGCCTGGCATGGTGCCTGCTGGGGAGGCATCCAGCTCTCCTGCAGCCCGCTGTCCTTGCTGCATTGAATACAACCAGCTTTGCAGCAGAAGTTCCATACAGATGGAAGATTTGCAGGCAAATGTCAGTTTGTGTTCCTGTCTTCTTTCCTACTGCTTGGTTGAGTTTTCAGTCAACTAAGAACACTAGCCAACAATCTTACTTTGTACACTAGTCTGGAAGAATATGTCCTCCTTTGGCTTTTGAATTATCATCAATTATCAGTGATCTTAGAGATCGTTTCCAACCTCATTGATTCTATGAGAGGGCATGGTGGGAAAGGGTTGATGCAGAATTGGATATTAGGAAACTTTTCTTCTCTGGAAGAGCAGTGCTGCAGTGGCACAGCTGCCCAGGGAGGTGGTGGGGTCACCAAGCCTGGAGGTGTTCCAGAACCGTGGGGATGTGGCTCTGAGGGACACAGTGGGCACGGTGGGGTGGGTTGGGGTTGGACTTGGGGATCTTGGAGGTCTTTTCCAACCTGAATGGTTCTATGGTTCTGTTGAAATGTAGCCTGGCCCCTTGTTAGCATGGTAAACTGGACAATTAGAGCGTGATGTGCAGGTGGCCAACATGTGCAAGTGAAGCAAAAGCTGCAGCAGTGGGAAAGAAGAAATCTGTAGTGGGGGCACAACCTTGCTTGTGTCACTTCAACCATCACAGCAGTGGTGTTTATGGGGAGCTGGGGTTGTGCCTGCTGTAGGTAACCTCAGCCATGTCTGTTCTTTGGAGAAATTCTCTTTGGTCTTCCCTGAGAAACAAAGCTGAGTGGGTGCATTATTGTGCTGTTATCATAATGTAGTGACACAGTTCTTCCAAGAATGAGATATGAGGAAAGCAAGTCACGCTGGTTTTGCTTTGAATCCTTCCTGATAGATTGTAATAGAAAGAGATTAGTTTGCACAGAGCTATTCGTGGAAATGTCCCAGAGGACTTCTGATGGCTGTTAAGCAAAGAAATGCTATTTCTTTGCTTCTGTGGATACCTCATGCAATAGAAAGTAGGAATATCATTAAATCAAATTGCATTTTATACTCAATGTCTTTCTTATCTGGAAAAGAAAAAAAAGTGTGAAGTAGCATAGGAAGAATTAAGAAAACAGAGTTAACACTTGTTTGTTGTAATGAGTTATGATGATGTCCTTTCCTAGCCTGCCGTATGAGAAATAATAAAGTTCCCAGCAAAAGGAATCTGTCATGTTCTACTGCTTTTTCCAGCTGACGCCTTAAAGAGGGAAGTGGAAGGACTCACATGCCAGCTGGGATGGTTTTATTTTTACAGCTATGTACAACTGTACATCGGGAATTGGAGTTGGTCCTTGTGGGTGCCTTCCAACTCAGGATGCTCAGTTCTTATTTATTACGTACGGTGGTGTTTTGTTTTAATTAGTAAACCGAGCTGGGTTTCCATATGGATTCGGGCATTATTCCTTTGTTACAAGCTCTCTGTTTAACCTCGTGCAAATTTCTCTTGGATCACGAACTTGACCACAGCGTCTGCTGGCTGTGCTCCTCGAAATGCTTTATGTTAACCTTTGCCTACATAAATATATGTAGGTAGGTAGCCACAAAACTGTTGATTTTTAAGTCCCTTTAAATTTCTGTCAGCATGCCTGTAAAATGGGATAATAATAGGTGGAGGTCAACCACTCTCTGTGGTGTAAAGTGAGTTAATATCAGTGTGTTTTTACATTTTTGTGCATCTAATATGTACCTGTGGTTTGTGCCTGCCTGGCTGGGTTGGCTGTGTTTTCCTTGTAATTCTCTGTAATTCTCTCTCCATAAAGAAGTACAGCCTGGCTGCAAGGGGGGCCCTGAGCAGTACCAGAAGGGCTCACAGTACCCCTACAAATTGTAGTAGTGTAGGACTGCCCAGGTTATAGAACAAAACTCAACTATAAGGTTAGCAAAGGTATTCAAGGCTCCATTTCTGTTGTTTGTGTGTACGTAAGTACAATAAATGCAATCTGAAGGAAACAGCAAAAAGAAAAAAGTCACAGCTCTCATGCAGTAATCCCTATTCATTCCATCCCTATTAAAAGAGTGGCCCGAGCCCAGGCATCACTAATTGATAGTTAAACAACTGTTGGATTTAGGACAAGTGGTAATAGCTCTGTGTTGCTCCAGGGGAGGCTCAGCCTGGATGTTAGGGAAGACTTTTCTCATAAAGAGCAGTGCTGCAGGGGCACAGCTGCCCAGGAGGTGGTGGGGTCACCAAAGCTGGAGGTGTTCCAGATCCGTGGGGATGTGGCACTGAGGGAGGTGGGCAGTGGGCATGGTGGGCTGGGGTTGGACTTGGGATCTGAGAGGTCTTTTCCAACCTGAGTGATTCCATGATTTCTCCATCTAGCTTAGATTTAAGTCACTAGAAATAAAACCCAACCAGGAGGTGTGCGCAGTCATTGTTAGAATGAAGGTTTATTGCACCAAGTCAGTGCCTCACCTCTGTAGGCATTTTGGATATTTCCCCTAGCTTGAATGTCCTCCTACATCTCTTTGAAGAATTGGACAGTGCCAAAGATCAGTGATGTAATCACAAATGTTTCACCTTCATTTTCAAGCAGTGCAGAAATCCCAAAAACTAATTAGAGAAGAGCAGACCAAGGTCTTTAAGTACCTTTGTGCAAAGCAAACCCTGCTGCTCTTTGCCTGAACAGTGTCGCTGAAAACGCTGATGCCCTTTTTCTTGCTATTGGTTTTGTTTTCTAATTTATTTCTTTTAATCACTAACTGGAACAAATTGCTCTTTCTATTGCAGTCCCCCTCGACCTCTGACTAACATGAATGACGCCATGGTGACCCACATGTCCTCTGGAGCACCAACACCAACAAAGAGGTAGGTGTACCCTGCAGCATTTATCGTTGGCTTCTCCGAGAGGTGAAAAACACAGAGCATGGATTTTGTACCACTGGAGCTCTTCTAATGTGTTTTCAATAACACTTCTACTTCAAAGTGTGTGTACAGCATCCATTAAAGAAGGAATTGTTTGCAACGCTGCTTTTTTTTTTCCCTCTAAGGAGTGATTTTCTTGTATTGAAATAGATGCCATTACATGAGCGTGACTGAAGAAATATCCAAACATTGCTAAAGAAATTTTTGTTGTTGTTATTAAATAGAGCATTACTTTCAAAGCTGTTCTGAGAAGGACTGGTCTTGTATCATAGGCTGCACTGCTCACAAAGTAGAGTAATTCTGCTTGAGACATTTCACATAATAAGTTTACTTTATTACCTTTGTTAACACATATTCTCTGCACTGACCCAAGTTCTTTTGAGTTGTCCTTATCTACTGAAAGCATTTAGGTAGAGCTGAAGTTGGGTTATACTTATTTTTATGTATGTAAATTGTTGCATGAATGCTCACTTGTAAACATGCAAGAACGTTGAATCATGGATTTGCCTTTTCTTTCTTGTCAAGTTAGGGGAAAATAGCAAGGTGTTCTGCTGAAGACTTCACTGGCCCAAAGCTGTAAATGAATAAATGTTCCCTTCAGGGAATGAGAAACAAAACTGGAAAAAATATTCTCACATTTCAGTGACAAAATGGCACAGAAGAGGCAAGCCAAACCCCTCACTTTCAGCAGCAGTCTCCCAAGAAGGCTTAAGCACAGATCCACATAATTTCCTTCCAGTTTCCAAGACAAATGAAGTGAGTTGTATGTGCAGTTTTGAAGTGGCTGTGTTAAAATTCCAAAACTGTCTTGAGTCCCTCAGTTGGGTGACTACAAACTCCATACAGTGTGTGGTACGTTCTGTGACTTGAAATTTGCTTTTTGCTGAATTAGAAGTGAAGAGACTGAGTCTGAATATTAATGTAGGCTGTCTTTCAACAACACAACCCGTGACACTGTATCACTTATTGGGTTACAAGCAACCTCCTGGTCAAGGCCTTCAGTGTTCGCATTTAGGCTCTGTTTGGGCTTCACGTCTTCCCTGTACATGGCTGTTTTCTGTGCTGGTCTGTGGGCACAGCAGATGCCGTTTCTTCTCACGGAAGCCTGCAGTCCCGTTAATGATTTGTTCCTGTGCAACCCTGGAGATGTTCAAGAACTGTGGAGATGTGGCAATTGGGGGCATGGGTCAGTGAGCGTGGTGGGGATGGGCTGGCAGTTTGACTTGGTGATCTTGGAGGCCTTTTCCAACCTTTTTGGTTCTGTGGGTCTCTGACATGATAGAATCATCGGCTCTGACACGCTTCAGCTTTGGACATTTTTGTTGTTATAAAGGAGCAAGATCTCTGTTGCTGCCTGCTGTCCAAGGTCAGGTAGACCAAGATAATTCAAAAATTAAAACTGTGAGAATCAGAGCGGTTTGAACGCAGACAGCATGTCATCTGCCTCTACACACCCTGCCATCGCCAACCACAGGACTTGCCTAAAGTGTTCCTCATGAGGATTGGTTATTTGCTGACTTGGGCCTTGAATGTATGTAGCACAGTGAGTGAGGCACCAAGGTAGATGTTAATAAAAACACGGCCAGTAGGTAATAGCTACTGGGACAGGTCCTTGGCACAGTTCTGGCTGTTATTACAACAGACTGGTTGATTGAACACAGTTGGCATTTTGAAAAACACACAAGTAACTGTAGCTGACTTCCCATTGAAAGGTATGGAGCTTTGGATAATGGATAAAAATCCCTCTGTGATTCAATGGTTGCACTGAGACCTTCCAAGATGATGACCTCTATAGCACATACCCTTTACATATCCCATGCCCAGGAAAGGCTAAGAAAAGAAATGGGAACAAACACCAAAGAAACTCCCAGATTCCATGGAATGATGGTTACTGTCATCCTTTGTCCACAGCTTGCTCTTTCTGAGAGGCAAGACATTTGCTGAAGCGCAGAAGGGCATTATGCCAGTCCAGAGGCAGTGGTGAGAAAACCATCAGTCATCTTATTTTCAAGCATCATCTTCTGTCAGGCATTGTGAGAGCTCACAGGCAGCAAATATTTGGTAGCTGCCATCTTCTGTGATTGCCACAGCTATTTTAATACCTTCCTTTCTACCATCTCACCCTTCTTCAAGGATTCTCACTTTCAGAATTATGGGTTACTTCATCTAGCAGGTTCTGCAGGAGTCCATGGGAAGAGACTTCTTCTCCTAGTACTTATTTATTCCAAAGAATGAGTGGGGGTATTTATCTTTTCCTAAACCTGGGGGAAAAGGCCATAGCAATGTTTGCCTCCATCATTTCAGCTTTTCAGGCCCGCAGCACACTGCTCCATAACCACTCCACAACCCCTGGGGATCTACGTGAGACTTGCAGTGGGACCAAAACCCATCTCACACCAGGTATTGACATTCATCCTCTGATGTGCCTTTGTTCTTTGCAGAATTGTGGTGGTTGTGTACACCTGTCTGAGTCTAATCAGGGTTGGGTTGGTTGTCATCACATCACATAATGAGGAAAAAAGGTCTTCACCAGAGCTTCTCTGGTTGTTCAGATGAGGATCTACAAGGAATGATCAGTGGAAGCCAATTCAGACTGTATCTGAATTGTATCCAAACCATTTCCATCTCTGCAAGGCTTCTGCATAACCTCGGCATGCAGCCAGTTAAACTAGAAGGCTGCAGATCTGGGGGCCTCAGCGTCACAGCTGAAACACTTGGCTCTTGCCTCAGCTTGAAAAAGACTCCATGCTCATCTCAGCATATGCCCACCCATATATGGTATAATCCTTCTGAGTATTTGGGAGTTCCAGTGCACTGGGTGAACCATAGAGCACATTGGAGCATCCATTCCTTTATCATCTGCTTGAAGCGCGTCTCTGTGTTATCTTTGTATTCTCCTTTTCTTTCAACCTGGAACGTGTGCAGGTGTTTGCAGTTAGTAACAGAGTGATTGAAGGCAGGATGAATGTTTTTTTCCCTTTGGAAATTTCTTCTATTTCTGTTCTGTAGTTCACATATGTCTGATTCCAGTGTGGGCATGGTGGTGATGAGTTGGCGGTTGGACTTGATGATCTTGGAGGTCTTTTCCAACCTTCGTGATTCTGTGAATGTTTTCCCTAGGATTTATTACAGTTCCTGTTGTTTAGATTAATCCCTGATGTGAGACTACATCACCGACTGAATTCAGGGTCTCGTTTCTCCAGCTGCAGACACTGTCACATCTTGGCAGCATGAAGTGAGCACATCGGGGCACTGAGACTGCTTGGTGCAAGCTGAGTGCCATTCTGAGCTGAATTTTAATGTGCTCAGTGGAAGTACATGCTGATAAATGTATGTATATAGTTTTAAAAACCTTTTTCCTGTGCTTCCTACTAATATTCTTAATACGAGTTTAGTCGTGATTGTGATTAGTACTAAATTATTAGTGAAAAACTGCGTCATTAGAGTTTTAATCCACTTGTGGCAGATGTCACCATGGCAGAATGGAAACAGAAATGTCCTTTTGTTATTTCGTGGAAACAATCTCAGTGTGACAGCTGCTTTGTTGGGAAGAAGGCTGAGCTGAAAGAGCAGGATTTTAATGCCTGAGCTTGCTTTTTTATGAACTACAAAATTGAAAAGCAAACAAACCAAAGCAGCCCTCCTCAAACGCTGCTCTCACCCAGCGCGCATCTCAGGGAGCCTTTATCTCTTCCACCCTCCTCATCCTCTGTTTTCAATGGGAAAGCATGCAGAGGGGCAGCAAACTCTGCGGATCCCAGGATTTCTGCATCTGTACTTTGCAAAGAGCTTTCTGTAGTGGGTGACATACTGCAGACAGAATGAGGTCAGAGAAAGTTTGTCCTAATAAGAGGGAAGTTCTGGGAGCGGAATAGTAGTGATGGTCACTTGCAGCTTTGGATCACTTTCACATTTAGGTATGTAGTATTTAATATTACCATTTGGCTGTTTTTCATCTCTCAGAATGTAAATTTCCAAATTCACATCAGTGGTTTAACGGCATCTTTACATTTGATAGCAATGGGGGAGGGAAACATTCGCAAAGGGAAAATTTGAATGCAAGTTTGCCTGTATTTGTGACCTGTGATACAACAAAAGTCAGTGTTTCTCTGATCCGTATGAGCAGTTCTAAATGTATGAAAGGATTACGCCTCCTCTGTAAGATGAGGCCAAGCCTGCAAAATATGTTACCTTTTTTTGCTGATTTATTTTGTATCATTTTAGGAATAGGTAATTTCTGCTGTGGTCCGTGTGCACTGTCCTTCCATCAGCCATTCCCTTCCCAGAGGCCACCAGCCCTCAGCCCGTTTAACGATGTGCATTGGATGTTCTGCAGTCTCTTCTCCTAGGATCACTGATCACCTGCTCCTTGTGGTCCCTCACTCTCTTCCTGCCTTTATTTTGTTTGTCCTTGTTTATCTTGGCCGTCTCCGGTGCCACTGATTATCGTGTCCTTCAGTGCGTGCATGACTGGGCACTTCCCAGCTTTTTGGTCAGACCTCCAGAAACCTTCCTCTGCTGTCAGTTCTGCGTTGATGTATTTTGTATCTGTGTCATTGGCACTGTCCCTTGTTGTTTGTGTTTTTTAGTTCTGTAACCCAGAGTGATGTTTATTTGCTTGGCTAGCTTAATTTATCTTCTGACAACTTCCAGTGTGCCTTTTTTCTCCTTTGTTGCCACGCCACATTTATCTCTCCAACATTTCCTTCTAGCTGTCCAGTCACCAATTCCACCTGAAAGTGACTGACCACTGTTCTTGTCCGTTCTGCCATTTTTCTTTGACACAGGTGTAGTACATTCATTTTCCTATATTGTGCTTCTTAGACGTGTGTGAAATCTAGAGATCCTAGAGCCTCTTTAGCCATAATTCCATCCTCAGGAAGTTCACCGTCTGCAGGCACTGCTGGGGCTGGGGTAGTGCTGGGGCAGGAGCTGGTGGCCTGGAGCTCGTCATGGTTCCTGGCTTGACCTTGACCCTGTCTGACAGCCACTAACAGTCTCTGGGTGTGTTTTGCAAACTAGCATGGGCCAGAAGTCATTCACATCTTCTCCAGTAGGCACTGTGCATATGGCCACACTGTTTCAGAGTTCAGCATTGTGGGCAGATTGTGGTAGGTAGGGGTAGGCATGCACCATGCTTCATAATGCAACCCATGACACCTTCTGTCTACCTATGTAATACCAAAATAGGTTCTCTTCCTAGAAAAGGAGTAAAAATATCTTTGTTGAGACCAGGGAGGTGCTAGCTCACTTGAAACCTTGCCCAATGAAGGTTTGACATTACCTCACGACACAATGCAAGAAAGAAAGGATGAGGACAAGAGGATCTGTCTAGGATGAGAGGTCATGGCCTCACATTGCACTGGGAGGTTCAGGTAGATATTAGGAAAAAATTCTTCTCAAACCCCAATTCTTCTCCCCAAAGAGTGATTTGGCATTTGTACAGGTTGCCCAGGGTGGAGGTGGTATCACCACCCTGGAGGTGTTCAGGAATGATGGAGTCGTGGCACTGAGGAATGTGGTCAGTAGGCATGGTGGGTTGGAGTTGGAGTTGGTCTTGGTTATCACAGAGGTCTTTTCCAACCTGAATGATTCTGTGAATCTAAGAGCTGTCATAATGAATTGGTCCAACAATTTCAAGCAAGAAGTCCTGCCTTTCTAACTTACACTGACACCTGGGTGCCTAGATGTATTTATTTTTGACCCGTGGTTTAAAATCCTTTGGGTGCAGCTGGGTGACTGTGGGACCTGGGTTATGAGGAAGATGCATTAGTTGAGTGTGGGGAGTTTGATGGGAAGGAAGTAATGGTCCAAAGGCAACAGCAAGGAAATAACTGGAAGATATATTCACTACACATAAGTGAGTATAATATAAAATTCAAGATCAAGAGGAAAGTGCATGAATAAAATACAAAAGAAATCCTGGTGGTGCACCCAAGCTATGAAGGCTGTTTCTAACTGTTGGCACACAAGTAGGGCAGAACTCAGGACCTGGAAGCACTGCTGTGTGGGAACAGGCAGTGAAACCTGCAGGAAGACAGCTGTTCTTAATCCTCGTGCTGCTTTATGGTGCCTGCTAACCTACTTATGCTGTGAAACCTTTAGTCTTCATTTACACTGCTTCTCACCTCAGTACTTTCTTCTTTTCTCCTTTCTCAAGTAGCACTTTTCAGCTTATCGTGTATGCTGCTGCTGAAGACGTATATCTCAGTCAGTTCTTCCCCCCTGCAGCCCACGGTGGGTTTTCCAATAATGTTACAGCAGTCTGAGTGCTGCCACACAGCAGTGCCATGCTGAAAGAAAGGGAACAGGGAGCACCCAGCAGGCAGAGCAGATCCTGAACACTGCACTCCAGCAAAGGATTCACATTTCTTCTCCATCACCTTTCTCATCGCATTGAAATCCGTCATTTCTCCTCACTTCTTCTTTTCCTCCATTTTGACCACACTTCATTTTTAGGCACAATGACCCTGGGTCCCTCTGGTCACCCCTTGGTTCAGAGCGGGCTGCTCAGCACCACACCTGAGGCAGTGGGGGATCCCAAGGAGACCCCACACCTCTCTGGGTCCTTATCCACGTCATACTGATGCTTTCATTTTTCTTCCAGTCCATGGTTTTTGCACATCCATACTTGGGCCCATTAAGATTTTGATTTTTTTTTAATGTAACTTAGCAGCAGCATCCATATTCAAACAGCTTTTGTCACCGCTGCCTTTCTGAAACCCCTTTGCTGGCAGTTTATTCATCCCTTCCTTAATTTGCTTTAAATTCAAGTGTTACCAGATAATGCTTTTATTTTTCCCCCTCTATTCTCTGCCTTAACGATGAGCATCCAGCATGCTGCTGGTGTTGGGCTGTGTTCTGTTTCCCTATGTATTAATGTTGTGTGATTTGCACCTTGGGTGTACGTTGTTTCTCCTGCCTACAAGAGCTGATGATAGTCCGAAGAAATTAAAAGGTTGTTTGCAGTTTTCAGGCAG